CCCGGGGGCACTCCGCGCCACCTGCCGAGTGCCCCCGTCTACTCGGCGGGGTCGCAGCTGCCTCTGGAAGGCACCGAGAGGGACAAAATGGCGCAAATGGTCAAATCAAGGTTTTGTAACGCGAGCTGTGCCACAGTGAAATGGCACTTGCCTGTCACAAGGCTGTAAAAAAGTGTAGTCTCTACTCGCCAGGACGGCACGCCGCCACCACACAGGTGCCCAAAAACTCAAAAAGAAAGAAAAAAACCCAAGGGAGGGATGGGAGGACGGCACGCCGCCACCACACAGATTTCAACTCAAGGGAGGAGCGCTACGGAAAATTCTTTTTCCGCGTTCCGTGTGGACGGCACTGTTGCGAGCTCCCGCACACATGCCCTGCCCCGCGCTTCTACTCGCCAGCCTCGCCGCCTTGTCGCCAACGCAGAGGTTGGCCCGCGACGGCTTTGCCGTCTTTGATGGCGTGCTTTCCCGAGAGCAGACGGCGGCCGTCCGCGAGACGGCCGAGGCCCTCCGCAGTGGCGGCGCGATGCGCAACCTGGGCCAGGACGGGCGGGACGACGAGGTCCTGACGGTGGATCTCGGCATGCTCCGCGACCCGAGCTACAGCGGGCTCATGGACGCGGCGCGGGTGCTGGCCGGGATGCCCGGCATGCTCGTGGAGTCGGGCCGACGAGATGAGTGTGCCGCAGAGACGGCGGCGCAGTTTGCGAGCGCGTCGACGCCGCGCCTGCTGATGCTCGCCCGCTACCCTCCCTCCGCCGGCGGCTACGTGCCGCACCTCGACAACGACGCCGCCGATCCGGACCACCAGCGGGGCCCGGTCGGGCTGCGCGCGTGCGACCGGGTCTACACCTGCATCCTCTACCTGCAGTCGGGCTGGTCCGAGGCGGACGACGGGCGGCTGAGGCTGCACCGGCCGCGGGGCCGGGCGGAGCGCGGGGAGGCGGCGGCGGCGGCGGTGGAGGAGGAGGAGGAGGAGGGGTGGGCCTTCGCGGGGCGAGACTACGTTGACGTCGAGCCGGTCGGCGGCCGGCTTGTCGTCTTTGACTCGAGGAGAATGCTGCACGAGGTGCGGCCGAGCTTCGCGCCGCGGTGGGCGCTCACGGCGTGGATCTGACGAGCCGAGCCGCGGGGTTCGACCTCCTCCTCGCGCTGTCGGCCCTTCCCCCACCCCAAGCTCTCCGCAGGAGCAGCACCGAAGCCGCCGCCGCAGCGCCTACCAGCCGGCGATGACCTCTCGCTGGACGCTTCGCTCGAGGCTGGAGGCCGCGAGGGCCGCCCAAGGCACGAGAGGCGCCCGCCGAAATGCTGCCGAGCGCGGCCACCGCCTGGCCGCGGCTGGAGACGGCAACAAACACGCGGTGGGTGGCAGATGCAAGCGCAAGACGGCAAGAGCTCTCCGCCCTCTTAGGCAACTCCGGTACACCGGACGAGCTGCGGCGGCGACAGAGCGCGAGGGGGAAGAACGGTGGATAAGCCGCAAGGCGAGAGACCTCCGCGTGTAACTGGGGCATGTGCATCTCTCTGCATGTGAGGCTTTTGAGAGGGGAGGGCGACGCCGCAGCGCCCGCAGCCGCACATGCCACATCGCGGGACCACATCGCTCATCTTAGGGGACCCCTAGGGTTCTGAGGGCCGGATTTTTTAAGACCTTTTAAGAAACGAGGAGGTTTGGGGGCTTAACTTGCCCAGGGTTGGACTTCGTGGCAGGTTCGTGGTGTTTCACAATCACGACATAAATCATAATCGTTACGTCAGTTTAATCCGAAACAGCGAATCGATTTCACTTTCACTTTCACACTTCACATTTCATGTGAAACGAAATTTCACTTTTCCCCGAGCGAGTGTGAACGTGAATAAGGACGGATGCTCCCACCGAGTTCCGACACGCTGACACTCACTTCACACTTGCAAGTGTTGAAGTGTTGGCTCCACCAGCAGCAGCCAAGCGGAGATGGAAGGAGGCTGGAGATATTGGTCACGCTGAGCTGATGTGTGCACTAGACCAATATGAATATCTTGGCGTGCTGTGGGCAAATCAGGAGCGAATACGGATTACGGTGCCGATGGGTGGGATGAACTCTCTCAGCAGTCGAGAGTCGACTCTCGACGCATTGGGAGGGCGGCTGCGGCGTTGTAGGGGCGGCGGCGAGCTCCCGGTTGCAAATACTCGCCTCACAGTCCAAGATGGCGGCTCGCGCCCCCGGCCGTGCTCTGGTGTGCCTCTCTAGGTCTCTAGTCCCGTATGCCACCCAGATACCGAGGGCGGGGCGCACTCTTCGACTTGGGCTATTATCTGGCCTCGGGAGGGCGGCGGCGGCGGCGTAGGGGCGGCGGCGAGCTCCCGGTGGCAAATACTCGCCTCACAGTCCAAAATGGCGGCTCGCGTCCCCGGCCGTGCTCTGGTGTGCGCTTGGGTCGCCTCTGATGCTGTGTCTCGTCTTAGCCAGAAAGATTCAAAGATATCGAGAGCGTGCGACGACAACCAACCCTAACCCTAACCCTTACCCTAACCCCTAACCCTAACCCTAACCCTAACCCGAAGAACCCAAAGTATTCACCGAGAGCTCGTGTCGACGGACCGCTGATTCCTCCATTTGGCTTCGGCCCAAACCGGACTATTCGCTCTTAGGAGCTGCACAACGGCTTGAACTCTCTGACCCTAACCCTAACCCTAACCCTAACCCTAACCCTAACCCTATCCCTAACCTCTAGAAGAACCCAAAGCATTCACGGAGAGCTCGGGTCGACGGACCGCTGATTTCTCCATTTGGTTTCGGCCCAAACCGGACCATTCGCTCACTTAAAAGCTGCACACAACGGCTTGGACTCTCTGACCCTAACCCTAACCCCAACCCTAACCCTAACCCTAACCCTAACCCTAACGACACGGTGCTCCTTAAGAGGTCGCGTCGCGTGTTGGTGTATGTATTTCGGCGGGGGCGCGCATTAAAAGAACATTGAGGCTACACACACGTCCTCGAGCGCCTGAGCCCCGAGCAGGACACACGAACCAAGCTGCTCTCGCACCTCCTCTCACTAGTTACTCGGTTGGGCTCTCTCCTCTCTATACTTCGTCGCTTTCACCGCGTTTGGATGCAAACTTGTGAAATTTTCAGTGAAACGGGGGCGGCCGAAACGTTTCATGTGAAATTCACATGAATTCACATGTGAAAGTGAAAGGGTGAAATTTCACTCACGAACCCTGATTACTTGCCATTTAAGAGATTGCAGGCACGGGGGGTCCCTCTTTTTTAAGACCGTTTAAGAAAATCGGCCTCGCCGGCATGCGTCGCTGGGTTCCGCGCCGTTTTCTCCAATTGTCCAATACTGCCGTTATTAGGCACAAACCCGCCTCTGAAGACACATCTGTAAGTCTGGTGCACTGGCAGGAGCCAACTCGCATAGCCATAGGGGACGCACGTGCTAGCTGACTGTTGTGTAGCCAGCTTCCCGGCCTCCGGCGTCTACCGGGAGCCTCCTGGACCATCGACCTCGACCTCGGGAGCTCTCCCGCACCGTTTAAGCGTTTAAGTCTTTTTAAGACCGTTTATGGTTTAACTTTAAGGAGACGAATCGGCGGCCCAGGTGCAGCCAAAAATCGGGGCCCCGTTTTAAGGGTTAATTTAAGCCGTAAGCCGCAGCGCGCAGGCCGCAGGCGCCCCAGGGCCCACCCTTTTAAGCCTAGGGCCCCCCTAAGTCGCCTCATCGGTCTCATCGCGCAATTCGCACATCCATTGTTGACGCCGCGGCCTCTCGAACGAGAGTGCTGCGTCGCATACGCATCTAAAAATATTGGAGGAAGGCGAGCAGCTCAAGAGGCGAGATGCCTCGCATGTCCATGTGAGATGTGTCACACACACCCCGGGCCTCGGCACCGACGACACCTCAGTCACCGCGCCGCGGTCGTTTGCTAGAACCGACACTCGGTTGTCAGTCACGACGCTCTCTCGGCGGACACAAATGGCGCGGGTGTGAGGAGGGGCAGGCAGCGCGACACGGCAGCGCGGCAAGCCACCCCCTCTCTGCCGAAGATCGTGCGCACAGCCAAAGTCGCACGCTCCCCTCGACCGCCCTGCCGCAGAAGAGACAAGAGGGCCGCGGGAGCACAGGAGCGGCTACCTCAGCAGCTACGCTTGTTTGAGGTACATGGGGGCGACCTTCTCGATGGCCGTGTCGAGCGCGTCGCAGGCGGCAACGTCGACGACCTGCTTGGTCTTCATCGCCGCCTGCAGGGCGGCGTGGTGCGCCTTGAGCGCCTCAACGTACTCCTCGTCTTGGTCAAAGAGCTCCCGCTTGACGCGCTACGAGAGGGCGGCGGGGGCGGGAAGGGGGAGCGGTGAGGAGAACGAGGGTGGGGGCGGGTTCGGCAGAGGACGAGGGCAGAGGGGTGGGGCGGTAGCGGGGTGGGAGGGTGCGGGAGCAGCAGGGCGGGGGTGGGCGAGAGCGAGGAGCACCTGAGCGAGCATGTACTCTCCGAGGGTGGTCATGAGGGAGCCGGCGTGCGCCTGCGGGAGGGGAGGGAGGGAGAGAGGGCGGTGCAGTGGCAGTGCAGTCGCGGAGGCCTGTTCGCGGACCGCAGGGGTGAGGGAGCGCGGAGGCTGCGTCCGCTCGCCTCCTTCGTCATGACCCACCGCGTCGCTTGGTTGAACGAGAGGGCGTCGCCTTTCCCGGCGAGCTCGCCTATCTGGACCATCGACTTGCGGATGGTCGCTGCGTCCTCCTTCATCGCCGCGACGCGCGCAGGGTCGTCGAAAATGCCGCACGGCACCTAGAGCGATGGGGAAGCATGTGACTGATCGCACCGTGACCATTGCGAAAGTGCGAGTCCACCGCTGCAGTGTAACGTGCAGTCCATCGAGGAGGCGGTGCGAACCTGGCAGTGGCCGCGGACGAGCAGGGCAGGACCCGCGCGTGCAAGCGCAGTCGGTGCGCGACGGCGCGTAACGCTGAGCAGCATTCCGAACTGTTTACAGACTTGGGTCGGCGGCGGCCTCGGAGTGACGCCGGCGGGTACCCGTAGTATCGGAGTTTTGTTAGTATCGAGGTCTCGGGAGTTTTGTGCACGATAAATTCGTGCCGTCCGCGGCGAGCCGAGCCAGGCCACGGCGCTCGGCCTCCTGAGAGAAGACCATCCCGGACGGCAGTGACAATTTACCCGACATCAATCGTCGACGGCAAGCTCGAGAACTGCGCCTCCAAAGTCGCCCAGATTTGCCTCTCGCGGCGCGCTGAGTTAGTATCGCCGGTGCGCCAGCCAGCTCTGCTCCACAGCAGGGCATGCCTGACTGGCTCCTGCTAGCCGTGCGTCCTGGTGGCATCCATTGCCAGCTCAGGTAGCCTCAGGAGGTCGCCTCTCGCACGACTCGGCGCCGCACAGCACCGCTCCGCGTTACTACCGAGTTAGTATCGTCGACCCACAGAGACTGCTCTTCTGTAGGTGGAGCCGACAAACGCCGGCCGGGTCGGCCCCGCCGCCCCCATCGCCGCCGCCGGGGCGGCGGCGGCCTCGGCGGACCATCCGGCGCGCTGCGCGCCCGACGGGGAGGTGTTCACCACTCCTGGATCCTCACCCTGCCACGCCTTCGTGCAGACGCCGTGGCACCCACCTCAGGCGCCGCTCGGACTCGGTTGACGGCCGCCCAAGTGCTTGGCTCGTGCCTAGCCGTCCAGCAGGAGATGCCCACTCACTGCTAGGCTAATCTCGGGCTGTCTTGCGGCGGTGTGGTGCCGTGAAGGGCACCCGGCACAAAACTACGACCATTAGTACCGTGCCCGGGCAGTGCATTTAATTCTGTCAAAAATCGAAATGTGCTCTGTGGGACTTATTGGACTAGGATCATACGTCCGGGAGGCCCCCCATGCGTGCCGTAACGAGCCACGGTGTTGGTATGACTCTGTTCACGTTCACACCTCTTCAATAGCGCAAAACTCCGATACTACTGGTACTCGAGTACTCTTTTCCAGTGCTGTTCTCGAGGTTCTCGAGGTGGATATCCTTTGGCCGCGTTGGGTAGCGAGTGCTGTGAGGGGGTGAACATTCTTTTGTAGACCGCTAGGATTGAGAGCAGCCTCGCTCTCAATCCTAGAAGTCGAAGGAGTGTGTGTGTGAGTGAGCAGCACTCCTCGCAATCGTAGCATCTCTGTGCGACTGTGAGCACCCACGCTCGCAATCCTACGTCTTCTAGGACTAAGAGCAGCTCCGCTCACAAGCAAGGTGACTGGTGACGCCTACGACTACTACCAGCGCGCTCACACAAAACACAGCCCCGGACCCACGACGCACAAGCAAGCACAGACAGTCGAGAAGGGAAAGACAGCAACGACAGTCAGAAGCCAGCGCTGGGTACCAGGAAGGCGAATGCGATGACGGCCTCTAGTGTGAGCTCTGGGTAGTGGAGAAGAGGGTGGTGGGGAGAGGAGCGGCGGAGGGGGAGGCGGCGGAGGGTTGGGCGGCGGAGACGAGGGCGGCGAGGACGGGAGCGGTGGAGGCGAGGGTGGCGGAGACGAGGGCGGCGTAGGGGAGGTTGGCAGAGAGGAGGGCGGCGGAGTGGCGGGCGGCGGAGGCGAAGGCGGTGGCGACGAGAGCGGCAAGGGCGAGGGCGGTGGAGAGGGGGGTACATGTAGCGGAGACGAGGGCGGCGGAGACGAGGGCGGCGGAGACGAGGGTGGCGGAGACGAGGGCGGCGGAGACGAGGGTGGCGGCGGAGGGGAGGACGGCGAAAACGAGGGCGGTGGGGACGAGGGCGGTGGGGATGCGGGCGGCGGGGACAAGGGCACAATTTTCTTTTTTCAGACTCTCTTTTATGTTTTAGTGTATGCAGCTCTCGTGATCTCCCGGAGGCTTTTGGAAGGCCTGTTGTATACAGGTTGTCTATGGGCTCCGCGCCCTTCAACATACTCGTTATCTGTCTGCTGCGGTGCTCGGTGTTTACATGTACATGCATTGTTGAGTTCTGACTGAGCGTAGAGATATCAGCTGGATAGATAGGAGAGGTACATGTAGGTAGGCAGAGAGGCGGGTTGCTTTGGGGAGCGACACCAAACACATGAAAGTAGGTTCCTACCCTCGAAGAATTCTTCATCACGGTTCAGAGCTGTTCTATCGCCTTCGTCGCGCCATGCTCGGCGACGCTGCGAGACAGGATGCCCTCGACTTCGACGCGGGTATGAAGTACAACCCGGACTACAACTTTCTGCTCACGCCCTTTGTGCTCTACGGCCTGCCAGCGTGCTACCTCGTTGCAGCCATCAGCGGCCACTTCCTGATGCGCAACGCGGCGACGTGAGCTCCTCCCTCGCCCCTCCTCCGCGTCTCTCCGCCTCCGCCAGCCTGGCCGCTGCCGAGTCCCTCTCCGTCGCTGCCGCCACCCTCGCGTCGGCCCTCTCCAGCTCTGCCTCCGTTCCTCGACACCGTTTTGCCACCCCGACCCTCGCCCGCTCCGCCCCACCTCAGGCCTTCGTGGGTGAAGCCGGCGATGCAGCTGTACAACATTGCGCAGGTGGTGCTGTGCACGTACATGGCGGTCGGCATGTGGCCTGCCACCTTCCCCAACTTCCCGAACGTGTTCGGGATCGGGACCGAGTACTCTGCCGCCGGCGAGTGGTTCATCCTCGTCCACTTCCTCTCCAAGTTCATGGACTGGTGCGACACGCTGTGGATGATCCTGAAGAAGAAGTCGTCGGTGCAGATGTCGTTCCTGCACCTCTACCACCACGCCACGATCGGGGTGGTGTGGGGCTTCCTCCTATCCCTCGGCCACGGCAACGGCACGGCGCAGTACGGCGCCTTCATCAACAGCGTCACGCACGTCATCATGTACACGCACTACTTTGTGACGGGCCTCGGCATCAACAACCCGCTCAAGAACTGGGTGACCACGTGGCAAATCACCCAGTTCTACTCGTGCTTCCTGCACGCCCTCTGCGTGCTCTTCTTCCTCCCGTCTATGGAGGTCCACTTCCCGCGCCAGCTCGGCTGGCTGCAGTTCTGCTACCACCTCACGATGATCTACCTCTTCACCTTCAAGCTGCGCTGGGTGCCATCCTTCCTCAAGACGGGCGACGAGCTCGCAAAGGAGGCCGCCGCAGCGAAGAAGAAGAGGACCGCCAAGGCGCACTAGCCGGATCACCGCTGCCCGCGCCCTTCGCTCGCGCTAGCCCACAACAGAAGAGAAAACGACCAGCTCTGCTGTGCACACAGCGCCGCGGTACTGCGCGCTGGAGGGGTTTATCGTTTGCATGGTCCAGTACTTCAGGGGACGTGTAATAAATTATCGGATATCGCTCTTACAGCAGCCGTGGTCTTGAGAGAATGTATGTAGTCGTTTGACCTCACTGCGTGTAACTCTAATATAAAGATATCACAGCTCCACGGGGGGTCCGCTAGGAGATACGTCAGTAGAGAGAGACAGACCCACTTGAGTAAGTAGAGAGGGTCTCTGGCAGAGCTCTTGCGGTAGCAGACTAGCAGTCTCTACTCACTCACGCGGGGGCATGAAGGGGGGACGCTGCATCATGGGGGGGCGCATAGCCAAATGCATCGGGATCGGGATTGGCTGCTGCGCCGGCAGCACGGGCGGAAAGACACCCGCCGCCGGGGCAAGCGGCTGCTCACCTTGGCACTGCTGCTGCAACAATTGGTGCTGCTGGTGCTGGTGCTGCGCCACTTGCTGGTGCTGCGCCAGTAGCACCTGCTGCAGCCGCTGCCGCTCCGTGAGCAGCGCGAAGTTGAGTTGCGACGCCCTCTCCTCCGCCTAACGCAGCCATCCGCCGTGAGGGGACTGGGCCACACACAGTTTGAGTGGCTCGCCCCCTCTTGCCTGCAGCCGCCCGTGACGCTCCTCCGACAGCCGCTGCTCCGCAAGCGCCCGCAGCTGCATCGCCTGCTGCGCCTGCGCCGCCTGCGCCGCCTGGGACTGCTGCGCGTGCTGCACTTGGGCTTGCATCTGCTGCAGATGCTGCAGCAGCTGCGGTGGCGGCGGTATCGGCCCCGACACGCCCTCAGGACGGTCCTGCTGTGCTTCACTAGAGGGAGGCTCGCCCTCATGCTCGCCCTCCCTCCGCGCGGCGTGCGCCAAGGCCGCCTCTGCCGCCATCGCTGCGATGATCTCAACCTCGCTGGTCGGGAGAAGCATCGCCGCTTCCGGCGCCAAAGGCGGAGGCTCGCCGGCGGGCAACGGCGCGTCCTCTGGCGCCGTGCCGTCCCCAACGGCCCCTTCCGGCTGGGGCTGCGCCTTCTGCCCGGCGCGCTGCGCCTGCTCGCCGTGCCCCTCGGGCCGCTTGCGCGGCGTCGCGTTCAGCGTGCTCTGCAGCAGCGCCACGGCCGCCTGCGCCGCCTTTCGCGACCGCTTTTCGACCTCGAGCCGCTCCTCGAGGGCGTGCCTATGAGCGAGCGCCTCCCCCGCCTCAGACTCGCACCTCCCCCGCCAGCCTGGAGGCGCGCGGCGCACCGCGCAGCCCGCTCCGCCTCGAGAGCCGTCTCGAGGGTGCGCAGCTGCTGCTGGAGCGCCAGCGGCGCCGGCTGCGGCAGAGCCGCCGCTTGAGCCTGCTCCGCCGCCTGAGCCTGCTGCGTCACTCGCACTCCGACCCGCGCCGCCGCTGCCGCCGCCGCTGCCGCCGCCGCCGCAGCAGCAGCCGCAACCGGCGGTGCCGCCGCCACCGGCGGTGCCGCCGCCGCAGCCGGCGGCGCCGCAGCAGTCACAACCGGTGGTGCCGCCGCAGCCGGCGGTGCCGCCGCAGCCGCAACCGGCGGTGCCGCCGCCGGCGGTGCCGCCGCCTCGCTCTTGGCTGCAGCGCGGCTGTCGGGGCACATGCAGTAGATGATCTTGTTGCCGCATCCGGAGCAGCTGGCGGCGGACGGCATCGACGGGCTGGGATCGCCGTCGCGCCCCCCCTGCGCGGCTGTCGCCGCTGC